TAGGCATGTAAAATAAGCAGGCAACAAACTCTAGGAGAAAATTATATGAAAATTTTCAGTATGTGAAAAACATGATACATGATTGCAATTACTTTTTGTGCGCTATGTACTCTTTAGCACAACTGCTGGTTTGACAGAGGAGAGGCAGATGAGCCAGGTGCGATGGCTTGTGTTCAGGACAGAGCAGCAGAGGCTGAACGCAGAGAGGTCTCAGTCAGTTTACTCTTAAGCAATAAGAAGGTTTCATTAGGAAGGAAGCTTTGGACGGACTGACTTGTTAGCTGATTATCAAGAAAATTTTAAAAGGATAGACTTATGCTTTCATAAAAATGCTAGAGAACAACAGCTATAAGACAACAACTTGCACATAGCAAAAGTAGATTGTTTACTTATTTTAACTCAGACTGGATAACAGAGTCATGAATATCTATAGAACTGCCACAGAAGTTTACAGGCAGCACTTATCCAGACAGGGAGCTTATGCTTTTAAAGGGAGCAATCAATTAAGGCTTTTTTTTTCCCCTGTAAGTGCTCTAATTTCCTAGAAGGTTGACTTCACAGCACATGACTTTACCTGGAAGGCTACTGAAAATATGTACATTTTCAAAACTTGTCCTTCTTCACAGCAGCAGAATTTAAGATTTTGCTTTGAATATATAGAAAATTAGTCTCATTTAGCATCATATACAGATCTGACGGTCATGTGCTCTTAAACTCGATGTTGCATTATTAGTTATTTATTCTCCATAACCTACCAAGTTTCTGCAATCCTCCTCCATTTTTAACTCATTTGGGAGAAATGCACACACATAAAATTACAAGGCTGAAACAGCATCCTCTTGCAACTGCAATATAGATGCAGTTGACTGTTGTCTTCTAGTATTAGTCCAAACCTCCTTAACACTATAAGTGACTGTGGCACTTTTAAAATTTTATTCTGTCTCTCCTTTGAACATACTTCTTTTTTTAATATGCAGTTAACTGTGGAGAAAAGGTCTCTATGTCACAGACACTTTTGAGTCTAACCATCAACAGAAGCGCACTAGAGAAAATGAGTAAAAGTTACTAATTCTTCTTCACATCTTTTATGTCTGAAATTCTTATAAGCCTCTTCCATTGTCACAACTATGTTCATTTGTTTGCTTAGGTTTAGGCTTGAGCTTTTCAAACACAAAAATAATTGCTATTTTGTTGTGAATAAATTTTTTCCCTAACCTTTCATATTTCTTATTTATCTCATTCCAAAAAGAGAACAGTAAGGAAATGATTTCCTCAAATTTGCAACAGCTGTGAGTCACTAAACCTCCTGATGGGTCCCGTGAGAACTGAGGCCAAATGCATGTGGAATAACAATTTCATATGTGGCATTATATTTCCCCCTTCTGAGATGCAATGGACTTAACAAGTCTCCATATTTAATTAATTCTTAATGACATGAACTGTTTTTAATCTGCCAGAAAAAAATTCTGTCAGTTACAAAATTACATCTGTAAGAAAACAGAAGATGATTACAGGTAGGTCGCATGCTCAGCCATTAGCTGCGTTCATTTCCAGAGCCAGTTTTCTGAACTGAGATCCAATTCAATTCTATTTGTCACAAAACCAAATCATCATTCAGGAACATGACTTAACTCACAGGAAATGTAAAGTGATTTGAACTACACTGGCCTTAAAAATATTATTATCATTAATTATTATTATTATTAATGTGCATACTTCTTTTCATTAATAAAATCCCACTGAAACCAATGGGATTCTACACAGAACAACATGTCCCGCGTGGGTGGACTCCAAGACATACGGCATTAAAACAGGTATCTTCAACAGATGGAACCTAAGAACCTGCCTTTTTAAAACTTATTTGCAGTTTGAGGTGCCTCTCTTGAGATCTCTTATAGCATGATTTTCAAGCAAAACGGAGGGAGATTTCCAGCACTTTGTGAAAATCAACAGTTTCTTGGTAACCTCAGAATGATCAGATGGTCAATATTTTGACAGTTACGATCAAAACCAAAGGCTACACAATTCCGCTTTGACACAATAAATTAATCCAAGCCCTCTTTTTGCCACCAAGACATAGCACTGCACTACAGCTTTATTATGAGAACAGGTCTGCAGTTTCTTGACATTTTGGAAGATGCTGTTTTCATGTCTCTTTTCTTCACATTTTCTTCAGATATACCCTTTTTAATGAAAATATTTGATATTACAAGCTCACGTGGAACAAGAAATTATATTTTGGAGAAGATATTAACATATTATACAAAGATGTAAAGATTATTTGTTTCTGAGTTAGCTCTGGTAATAAACTAACACATGCAGTATCTCAATCTCATTTAATTTCTAGTTTAAGATTAATTATTTTCCTGGCAGTATGCCACATTCTGGACAGTAGCCCAGCTATGGGTGAGTAATGGTAAATGGCTGGGAGTAATTTTTAAATTAAAATAAAATTGCAGTGTGTTTTCAAAGACTTGTAAAATTAGGTCAATGCCAAAGAAAGTGGTTTGCTTTGTTAATAACTTTGATAAAGGAAGATTACAGAGAAAGCCTACTTCCTGCTGGCCTTGAGAGCCTACTGATGCCTGCCATGATCATTAGTTTTAGGAGATGCAGTTTCAAGCTTGTTCAGGGCAAGTCCATGAAAATGGAAGCACTGCACAGCACCATAATACATGACAAGTACGAAATGCATTTGCATATCTGTAATAACATAAATTCCATTTATTATATTTTCTAGAAAGTAAGAGTTACTGTGAAAATCTGCAGAACCTCTTTGGAGTGTATTTGAGGTGGAATTTATCCTTTAATATCCTCAAATTGTTTCAATCCTACTTTAGATTTATTTTGGATTCTTGAATATGATCTGTTCAATTTTTCTGTATTCCTCTGATGAACATTGTTTACAACAGTTATGTGATCCTTTTTGCAAGCAGCTGTATTCAGTTCCCCCCTTATCTGCCCTCTCTTTATATTCATAGAAAGGTATCAGAAAAAAATCCTCAGGCCACAAGGCAAATGCTAGTTTCTCGGACTGGGAAGATGCTAACCTAATAAGAACACCAGTGAAAAGTTGTCTTAAAAATTTATTTTCCTGCGAATGCTCTAGCATTAGCCAATTCTGGCGACACAGAGCCACCTTAGGTAGATCAAGTGCAATGCTCTGACCCTGTTGCACGGGGGAGCTGCAGGTGGGTTTCTTACAGGCTTGCACCTTTGGCTCATGACTCAGCAGGAGCAAGGAGATGGCAGGGTTGGGGCTTTCCCTTCCTTCACCCCTCTGCAACAGAAGAGCTTAAATTCACCAACAGGAACATATTTTACAGGTCTTCTATTTAAATCTCAAAAGCTCTCAAATGAGTACGTTTACTGTTCAACAAAGGCACCTCCCCACATGATGAAGAAACTGATCCCAAGTTTAATTCTGTATTTCTGGCATGCAAAACCAGGAGAGATTACATAAGATTTCTATTTACTGACTAAGGTATGTAATTCATTGCCCAATCCAGTGATCAGCTGTGACTAGAAAACTAGTGTCTCCTAATTTAGATTAAAGGATATTAATAGAAACATTCTCAGCCTGATCTCAAGTTCAGACCTGTTAAGCATATATTTGTGTATTAAAATCCCCCTGGTATTGTAATACGCATTACAGCTGAACAACTCAATGTCTCTCAAAACCATAGTAAATTACTTTCTGATCTTTAACGTATTAGGAGACTATACTGAGATGCCCCTCTGAGAAAAGCAAATAACACTTTCAAGGAAAGGAAGAAACATTGTAGTAAGTGGTAAATCAAGCATTTCTCCTTCAGCGGCTAATTTCCTCATATGGACTGGCTAATCACTCAGGTGTGGTATGAATTACTCCTCCTTTGTAGCTTTCAATAACTATTTGCTGGACATCTTCAAATCTCAGTATTTTAAAGAAAGATGAACATTTTCCTCCTTCTACAGGATGAGGAAACTGTCACTGTTTTCAAACTCTACCTTAAAGGCACTCAGCTCTCCTGAGAGTCTCAGCTTGAAATTGTTTTATTTAGCAAGGTATTTGAAATTAAACTGTGCCCGCTATGGAAAGCAAGGAAGCATCTATTGGAACCATTCATCCCTGGGGTCTTCAGCTCCCAAGAGCTGAGACTGAATTCATATTACAAGTGAACACGCATCTAAATTTCTGAAAAGCTGTAAATAGAGACTTTCAAAGTTTGAGTTTTTGAAAAGGTAAGCTATCACGTACATGCTTAGTTACCTAAATAAGTGACCTGGTCTTCAGATGAGCTGAGTACTTACAGTCTGGATTAGAATGAACAGGAGAGTGCACATAGATAATCCATTTTTCTTTAAAAATTAGGTCACTATTTGGTGTACAGAGACACCTAATTTTGGTTATAATTTTTTATGAATTTTTTTGTAATACTTTACTACCTATTACCTTCAGATTTTCCTGTCTAAGCACATATCAGCAATTACAATGTGTAATTTATGAAGAAAAACCCAAGAAACAGGCAAATAAACAAGGTATTTCTAATATAGTTCATATTAGAACCATATTAGTTTCCATAATAAATAATTTACCACACGGTGTATATCAGAAATAAAAGATCTAAACTAGGCACATCTTTGGGTCTGAATCTGAGAATAACTATTGCACAACCATCAATAAAACGTCCTCTGCTTCACTGAGACTTTGTCACTGTAAATAATTACACTTCCTGGAGCGCACAGAAGATGTAAATGGCAAGGTAGGTTTTGATGAGTTTTGAGGCTTTTTTTTTTTTCCTCAGATCAACTCCAAATCTGACTTTAATAAACTTTTAATAAACTTTGAAAAAGGTGACAACACATTCATTTCAATATCAGCAATTCTTGCACAGGAATTACATGACATGTAATTATGTTTTTAACAGTGGGATGATTAAATAAGACAGACTGCAATGATGTGTTCATTCATATAATACATAATTCCCGAAAGAAATAGGAAAGATTTCTACACTGACCATAGTCTGTGTTTTCCGGCTCCCAACAATTTGATGGCCAAAAATAGGGTGTCTATAGACAAAACAAAAAAGTAGGGAACTCAAGTTAGACAATGCAAGCATTATACAGTCCTTGGATTGATACTGGTTTCCAGAGTCAATTTACATTTTTGGTAGATCTATTATATTGTTAACTTGACAATTTTGAAATAGACATCAAAACAGAAAATTACTTTCGTACGCTTGTTTATTGCATTAGTGTCAGAATTGCATTGAAAAAGAAGAACAAAGTGTTCTTTTTATTCTTAAAGTTAAGGGAACAAAACCCACAAGGTTAGGTAGTAAGGCTGTCTTTTTCATCTTGCCTAGCACCATACCTCTCACATGTCCTGAAGAATCAGTTTTAGAAGGTAAAAAGACAGAAAATACTTTGGGGTACATTCAGTTCTTGATTTTGGAAAGTTTTCCTTAGTATATATTAATATATAATACTCTTTCCTAGAAGTTATTTGTTTAAAAATGCCACTAAACACAACCTGTTTTCACAAAGTTATCAAAGTTCTTTTCATTTGTTGAAGTCTATTTTTTTCTAATTGTTTACAAATTGTGATTTAAAATGTGATTTTTTTAATGGAAAGCCAATAAAAGTATCAATAACTAGTTCAATACTATGCTTATTAAAACTGTGCTAAATGTATTGTTAAAATAATTCACTTCTACCAAATGAAGAATATAAGACCATATAGGCATTTTTCACACAAATAACTTAATTTTTAAAATGGTAACTTTTTGTTAAAATGTAGAGGATTACAGTATTTTATACATAACGCATTCATATGTATATATACACACATACAGAGAATTATATATTATTTGAGCAGTTGAATTAATCTCGTTAAATATGTGGACTGGTCTGAGCGGTATTTCAAAACACAGGCACTTCCTTAGGAAAAACTTCTGCTTTACTTTATGTTTCTTATTGGGTTTTCTCAAAGATCTCCCAGCTGCAAAAATGGAAACTCTCTTGCTGCCCACTTCCCTCAAAACTGTTTTAATGTTAATCTGGAAACCAACAGGGCTGAAAGGTGACACGTTCACACCTGCTGTCAGGTTAGATATATATTGGGAAAAATCTCTCTCTATTGTAACAATGACCCATCAACTTTAATGGGAACGATTTAGAACTTGCTATTTATCAGGCAACAGCAATGAGTTAAAAGGTAAAAAAGAAACTATCACAAGCTAACTTCAAAGGCTGAGATGTGTTTCTTGTAAGCTGTTTTGTGCTCTGTAATGGAGCAGCAATAAGTCATTCTCCTATCAACTATTCGTTCGCAGTGCCACTGAAATCAGTGACCAGTATAAGCACAAATGGAAAGAATAAGAGGAACCCCTAAACAATGAATGGCAGCACTCAGCGAATCCCAGAGAAGCAAGAAGCTATAAAAGTAATTTAACAATGTCAATCATATAAAGCATAAAGTCACCATCATTTAAATATACAGTTTTCAAACTTGGGGAGGGAGAACAGTCTATCCTTAGAGGCATGAAGCATATCTCAGGAGAGGCCCAAGAAGAAAAGCACAACTACATCATTTTCCTGCTAACAGCAACTTTAACCTCTGTTTACAGGTTCAAGCTGAACTTCTGGAAAAAGGGTGCAGTGGGGTTACTAAATACACAGAAACCATATCTGCTCAGGCAGCTCCCGAGCTGAAACTTGGGGCTCAGATTTTATTCAGGGGGGAATAGCAGTTATGGTGGAGGATGGCTGGAGAAAGGTGCAGGGGAAGAGCCCTTTCAGAAGTAAAGAGGCAGAGATTCTTCCAATTGTGGGTATACTTGCTGCAAATTCCATATTTAATCTTCTCACACATACTTAGGATTTCTCTTGACAAATTACATATACTCCCATCCCAGCTGAGATTAAAAAATAAATTCTCTCTTCTGATTTTGAGCGAATCCCAAAATTGCTTTTGGCATTCATTTCACATCAGGCTATGAGGAAATACTATATATTCACAATTATATTTATGACGTAAGAGGAGGACTCTGTTGTTTCATACATAAATGAAAAGCTACTCCTGGCCAGCAAGAATACTGCAAGAAATAATTCTGAGAGGCTCTCAAAGAGATTGTATCAATCAAGGATAAATCTAATATTACTGTTTTCAGTATTTAGTTAAAATAACACATTGAATTTTTATTGGGACTTGCACATTGGTGGTGGAGGGAGTGTGGGCGCTAAACAGAATATGGGAAAGGGGGCAGGATCTTCAATGTTGTGAAACGTCACTTTAGCTCATCACTAGGAGGCAGAGGTGGCCAAGGCTTTTCTGAAGGACAAAAAAGTGCATCCCAATGGCAGGACCTGCTTCTGACAGAGGAACTCAGTTCAGACCAATGCCAAGAAGTGTGAAAATGCACCGAGTACACTTTTTCCTTTCCGAAGCTGAACAAAACTTTCGAGGGAACAGATGAAATAGATTTTGTTCCATTAGAGAATACCTGACCAAGACTTTGCAGGTGTGTAGTACTTGGAGTGAAAGTGACTGCAGGATGAGGCTGGTATTCTGCAAAGACAAGCACAGCAGTATGAGGGCCAGCAGGCTCAGAGAACAGGCAGAGGAGGTCTCTCCGGAAAGTAAACGGAGGGTCAAAGAGATGGAAGGGACGTACTAAACGTCCAAGTACCTTTAGAGAGAAAGTGTAGTGACAGACCAGCGTAACCACACCGGCAATCTCCAATCAACGAAACATGAACAAGAGATCATGGAAAAAGCACAAACAAATGCACATGCTACTGAGGATGAGTCTAAGCCTCCCTGCGCCTCCATGCCTCTAGAGATAAAAGAAGAAAAGTTAAAACAGAACATGAGTTTTAATTAGCAAAGCACACGATAAGTCATAATAAAAGGTTTCAATAATGTTATAAGATAAGCCAAAAAGAAACCCCAGCAAAAGGCAAACATTACGTTATGAGAAAGGGGTTCAAATAACAGATCAGTACAGAAGATTATTAAATGCCTTCCTTGTTTGAATCTCCAGAAGGAAGGAGACTGTGGTCAGATAAAGGTTTTTCTGCCCAGGGAATGACATGCAGATGTGCGGATGCTCTGAACTGGGCAGGCACAAGCTGCCTCTGAACTGCAAGCCGTGACCCTGCCTGCATGGTGCTTGGATGCATTTAATGGGACCTGCTGAGAAGTACAGCTCATCAGCTCAAGCACTGCAACGTGGCCGGAGCTGGCCTCCAGCCAGCCGGCTCCCAGTGGGAACAAAGTTCAAGTCTGCCTGCAATCAGCTCTGCGAACATGCCCAGAATTAATTTTGACATGAAGATAAGACTACAGGGCGAAGTGCAGGAAAAAAACAGGAAGAGAAATATTTATATGAGGTCAGACAGTCCAGGTTAGAGGCCTGATGAAATTCAGCACAGAACGCTTAAGGAATTATTGCGTTTTCATGTGGGTAAACTGTGTTTATTTGTAGAAAACAAAAAAGCCTCACCAAACTGAAGAACGACTCCTGGTTCCTCAGCACTGTGAGTTATATGCATGTGCAAATATTATGACAAAATTTTTGCTCTGGTACTTCTCTATCTCCTCTATCTCTAACTCTCTATAGTATTTAGTATCTAACTGGCAAGAGTTTTCAAAAGTATTGGATTATCTGCATGATGTTTAAAGGAGTGCAAGTCACCTGAAGGGCAAGTTATACACAGAAAAAATATTCATTCAAGTAACCTTTGAAACATGGGCAGTTATTTAAAAAAAAAAATAAATCACATAAGGCAGAGGAGCCTCAGAATACTATAGCAAGGGGAAGATCTACCTTTTTCAGAACAGGGGAAAAGCTGAAATTTTCTGTATTCTAATCTTTCTACATCTAGTGTCTAGATTGAAGAATTGTAATACACTATCCATTTCTGAATCCTTAAAAGCTAAAGGTTACTAAAATTTGGATTTTTCAAAAACATATTAGGTCACTAACAGTGTAAAGCCCCTACTAGATGAGAAATAAACAGTAAATGCTATGTATTTTGGCCAAGGCAAAGTCCTACATTACTTTCTTACCAGCAAGTAAAGAATTATGGTATCGCATTAAGAGATGTGCTCAAAAGCAGCTACAGCTGCTGATAAAGTTTTATTCAAAGAGTAGATAACTATTATTCACTTTCAAAGCAGGAAATGGCATTGGTGGGTGCAGAGATTAGGAAAATTCTCCTAAAACCAGGCACAAAAAATAGTGGTAAGGGACAGGATTAAGACTTAAACGGAAAGAAAGTAAAAAAAAAATCAAGAAAAATCTTTAAAAAAACCCAGACACTGAAAATGAAACATGATAAAAAAATCAGTTTCTGATTAAAGGATTTTTACAATGCTATGATTGTATGGAAAAAATCCATCAACAATAAACTTGTGTGTAGTTAAAATGACTGACGTTTTCCCAAAGGTGCATTCCACATTTTCTTGCCTAATTGTTTGGTATTAACAGTCATAAAGTTCTGGTCTTAATCTACCTCGCCATGTGTCATGCACACTGGATAAACTGGAATACCCCTTGATAAACTGTAGCAATAGAAGTAAATCTCAAGCAACATCACTCCTGGCTGAGAAAAGTCCCAGGGAGAAACCTCACCACAAGGCTCCCACAATAGTACAATTCTGTTATTAGAATGATACATTAAGATTTTGGGGAAATGTGTATCAAGGCCCCCCCATTCAGGCTGGCCCTCGAGTGCACCGGACGGCCCCTTGCCTGTCTCCGTTCTTCAGGGGCATGCTCTGAGTGCATCCCCACCGCCCCTGGCTGCAGTCCTCCTCAGCCCCAGCGCCTCGCGGGCTTCTACCTGCACAGAGATTTGTTGTCCCAACCTCTGCAATCAGGCAAGTTAACATTGAGCTTGCACAAGGTCTCAGACAGAAATCCCTGGAACCTTTGACTCCAAAAACCTGATTTTCCTACAAATGGAGTCTGAGGTTTACTTTGTCCCTTAGATGTTACAGACCTCAAATAGTTTAATTACATAACACGTGACTATAATGTATGTGCTGAGTTTACATCTTTCCA